CCTTTATTTTCTTGAAATGATACTTTTTTGCCATTTTCCTGTTGAATTATTATTTTCTCATTGACTCGTAGGAGTCATTTTAGACACAAGTGGTTTTGGAAAAGGAAATGTATTCAAAGTAATTAACTGGCATTACCTATCCAAGAAAAACAGTTCAGGTTCTGAGGAGATGCCTCAGTGTGCCAGTGGCCCCACATTATGTCTTTATTAATTGTGCAAACTGGGAAACTGAGAGCTGTGGAAATTAGGAAGCTGGTGTTTTCTGCATTTGAATATTCCCCGTAAGGTTGCCATGATTGTTTTATTCTGTTCATTCATTTCTTAGCTATTCATATTAACTGTATTTCTTCACAGAAACTTGCAAGGAAATGCCATTTCTTACATTGGTAAAGATACGTGGAAGTCATACCATTTGGTTGAGAAACTGTGAGTATATTCTCTCCAAAAATGAATTTAAAAAACTAAATGCATTGTGCGATCCTTCTTGGTCCAGAATGTTGAGGTCAATAGGTCTGAGGAAAGGTATTTCCCCCTTCATATCCCAAATCAACGTCTATTGATTGCAATTCTGTTTATTTTAAAAATTAAATTTGGTAGGCCCTCTTTAAAATCAGGGTCAATTTAAACTTATTTTCCATTATAACAAGTAATACATGATTATCCCATATAATAAGAGCTAATATTCAAATGGTTGTCACACCGTCATGCAACAATGGTTCAGACACTCAACAGTGGGGAGAGAGGAATGGGACCAGCCCAGGAGAGGGACAAGCTGCATGCCCTGCGGTCCCAGGCGCCAACAGCTGTGCCTGCACCTGCGGCCTGGGAGAGGGACAAGCCACCTGCCTGCGATCCTGGGTGCCAAGGGCTGTGCCTCCACCTGCGCCTGTGGCCCGGAAGAAGGACAAGCCACCCACCCTGCAGTCCCGGGCACCAGCACCTGCGGCTGTGGCCCGGGCAAAGCTGCCCACCCATGGACCCCTGCAGCTGTGGCCAGCCCGGGCAAAGCTGACCCGGGTCCTGGGTCCCTGCGGCCAGCCAGCTTGAGGGAAGTCCTGGTCCTGGGTGCCTGTGACTGGCAGAGGAGAGAATCCTGGGTCCCAGGTGTGGGGCAAGGCAGGGGCAGTTAGGGGCGATCAGGCAGGCAGGCAGAGGTGGTTAGGGGTGATCAGGCAGGCAGGCAGAGGGGTTAGAGGCAATCAGGCAGGCAGGCAGACGAGCGGTTAGGAGCCAGTCGTCCCGGATTGCGAGAGGCAGTTGGACATCCCCTGAGGGGTCCTGGATTGGAGAGGGTGCAGACTAGGCTAAGGGACCGTCCCCCCTGCCATGCACGAATTTTGTGCATCGGGCCTCTACTTTTCTCAATATATAAAAATGAAATAGCAAGTATAGTGAAAACCCTGCTTGTGCCCTCATCCACCACCCTAAGGCAACTGCTACTCTATGTTTACTGTATTTCCTTACAGACCTTTTCCCACACATTTGCCTACATACATATTTACAGATAGCAAAATAGGTAAGTTGTGTGATTTTTACATTTTTTTAAACATAAATGGTAACATACTACCACTTGATTCTTTCACCTCACAACATATCTTAGACATATTTCCTTCTTGGTACGTAGAGGGTAACCCAATTCATTTAAGCTTCTGCATAACATTCCATAGTTTAATAATCCCTCTATTGATGGATGTCTAGATTATGTCCAATTTTCCTGTTACATGTATTGCTGCAACAAACATTCTTATACATGCATTTTTTTGGAACATGGGCTGGTATTATGCAGAATAGATATTTAGAAATGGAATTATTGGGGTGAAGACTATATTGATATCACAATTTAATTGCCTCAAAGAAGTTGTGCCAAGTTACACTCTAGTCAGTGGGCCACAACAGCATATTTCCTTCTACCCTCCTACCACTCTTATTTTTTGGCTGATTTAATGGGTGAATCAAACGGTCCTGTCTAAATTTGAATTTTTTGATTACTTGCGAATTTAAGTATCTTTATATATTTATTGAACATTTCTATTTCTCCTCTGAATTTGTCTTGTTCTTTTTTGCCCATTTTTCTTTTGTTTATCTTTATTTATTGATGTGTAGAAAAGTCCGGTTAGGCACATAAGTGATTTGGGAAGAAATATTTACATTCCAAGTAATTAACTGACATTTTCAAGATAGTTTGTGTATCATATTATTAGTTCAAATTGATGTCATAAATAACTTCCCAATTAATAAAAAAGACATAATAGTCATAGTAATCTAAAAACACGGTTTTTGAGCACCCGAAAAGATTCTTCCTTAGTCTGATATCTTATTGGTAAGGGGGGAAAAAAAGAACCAGGCAGTTGTTTTTAATATGAATTTTTTGAAACTATATGTAGTTTATTTTTTCCATGATAGTATCTGGTAATTAAAATGAAAGTCATTTGGCACAAGAAAAAAATGACATTAGTTTCCTTTAAGGAGTAGAGGGAGTGGGGTAGTCTGAAAGATGATCTAGGTCACAGTGGTTCTCAACCTTCTGGCCCTTTAAATTCAGTTCCTCATGTTGTGACCCAATCATAAAATTATTTTTGTTGCTACTTCATAACTGTAATGTCGCTACTGTTATGAATCATAATGTAAATATCTGATATGCAGGATGGTCTTAGGTGACCCCTGTGAAAGGGCCGTTTGACTGCCAAAGGGGTCACGACCCACAGGTTGAGAACCGCTGATCTAGGAGAAAACACATTGGATTGTGTACCATATTCCTTTGGAATTTTGAGCCATAAGAACCTACATTACATTTTTTATTAAATAAATTGAACTTTAAACATTAATTTTGAAAACACTTGTGTTTGGGAGTTGATACACAATAACATGACTCTCATAAGGTTTGAAGATTTCTAAGTCAGCTTGAGATTTATTCTTTATAAGGGAGAGGTTCCTAACTTAGGGTCAATGGACCCCCCGTGCATGATTTCATTTTTTAAAATATATTTTTGTTGATTCAGAGAGGGAGAGAGAGATAGAAACATCAATGATGAGAGAGAATCACTGATCGGCTACCTCCTGCATGCCCTACACTGGGGGCTGAGCCTGTAATCCAGGCATGTGCCCTGACCAGAATCGAACCTGGAACCCTTCAGTCTGCAGTCCGATGCTCTATCCACTGAGCCAAACCAGCTAGAGGCAGTGCACGATTTCTTAACCTTCCCCCCACCCCCCATATATCTCTGGTGATCTGCAGAAGTCTATGTTCTTAATTAAAATATATTAATTACATTTACAGATATTTACAAAAATAAAGTAAACCTATTATTGAAATGTAGATTTCAAAATATTTTTTAAAGATTATTAATAAATCCACTTCTCTTTTTTATTTTTTATTTTTTGAGAGGGTGGAAAGGAGGGAGGTGGGGGGGGGCGGGGAAGAGAGAGAAAGAAAAAAAAATCCACATGAGAGAGGCACATTGATTAACTGCCACCTGCTCACACTGGGTCCAAGGATTGAATCTGCAACTGAGATACATGCCCTTTTGTCTGTGGGCCAATGCTCTAACCACTGAGCACCAGCCAGGGCAGATCTGCTTCTCTTAACATATTAAATAACAAGCTATAGTGGTTGGTCTAATAACTGTTATAGCTTCAAGGTAGTGATGAGAATTAATAAATGATATTTTGAGATATCTGCAAAAAATATGTGAAAATTTATTATATGAAAATATCTTTATTGGAGACCCAATGAACTACCATACTGCTAATCTATGGTTTGTTGCCTAAATTCACAATGCAAGGCAATGCTAATTTTAGGTAGAGGTTTGTGAAAATAGAAATGTAATTTTATTCCTCGTTCAAGCTTGGCCCCCTGAATTCAATCCTATTCACTGACCTCTGCCCTAAAGGCATAATCAGCAAATGGAAATTACATGCACACTTTTGCATGTATATAAGAAGGTGCAGTTTTCTAGGCAAAGGGTCCATAGATTTTTATGAAAATTCTCACAGGGCTCTTATCTCCAAAGATTAAGAGTCACAAATTTAGGGGAGAAGAAAGACATTTCCTTGCCTATAAAGTTGCAATTACTCTCATGAGTGATGGTAAATGAATGATTTGTTTTAAATAAAAGTAGTAGACTGAAAATGATGTTTGTCATTTTCTGAAATCAAGGAAAAAGTATTTATGGAACATCTGCTATGTGCCAGGAACTGTTTTATGTGCCAGGATTCCAGGCCCAAGAACAACGTAGACAAATTATGCCAGTTCTCAAAGGGTTTACAAATGTATAATATGAAAAAAATATATAAATATAATAAATACATAGATTTAATTTCAAGTATTGTTAAGTTCTTTGGATAGACAGAAAGCTGAGGAAGGAAAGTGAATCAATTCTAGAATGGCCTATTGTTTGCACAAAAAAGACGTGAGAAGAAAGGTTTGAAAATAAAACACATTATCTTCCTTCAATTAAATAAAAATTAGGGTATTTCGCAGGCACCATTACCCACGTTTCCCCATATATATTTCTGTGCAGTAGATAGTTGTAGTTATTTTGCATTTTGATCCAGAAATAACCTTTTCATTTTTCAGAAATCTCAGTGCAAATAATTTGAGAGAGTTACGTAAGGATTCATTTGAAGGCCTGTTTTCCCTCCAGTATTTGTAAGTTAATTGTTTTTATTTATGAGTTTTTTAGTTATATTATCTATAAAATAAATAAGGGGTTCAAATAAGATAATCTCTACAATTTCTCCCAACAATAAAATTCTGTAAGTCTGTGTTGGGCTTCAGCCCATTTTTAGCATTTAATATCTCTTACATACTTTCATTTTATAATCATATAGACAAGATATAGATAATTATTGAGTAAAAGTGGTAATGAGGTCTGAGTAACACACCCATATGCACCTTGTTATATAAGTGTTCATATACCATCTGCTTATATTTATATTTAGTTTAGAGACCATGGATTATATCAGGCCTATGTTTGTGTGTTTCTTAGAGCACATAAGTTAAGAATGATTTTTACACTTTTGAAGGCCTGTAAAAGAAAAGAAAAAAAGAAGAATACTGTATGCGTGACAGACTGTCCGGGGCTTGCAAAGCCTTACAGTCTGGCCTTTACAGAAAAGTTTTTAAAATACTGATTTAGTAAAATGAGAGGAATTCAACTTAACCTCAAATTGTCTCCTATAGGACAAGAAAATATAGAACATTTACATTAATTTGAATGCCATTAACCAGATTTTTTTGATAATTTAATCTAAATGAGATTAACATTTACACATTAAATGTTTAAGCTGATGAATTATGTTAACAATATTATTAAGAACATATTAAGTTACCAAGAAAGCAAATTGGCGTTGAGGATTTCAATGCAGGAATTGTTATACCAATACTGAAAATAAATGTTTAAAATGATGGTTAAGTGGAATTGTTACAAATGACTACACTAAATAAGCATATCAGAAATGCCCCTCATTTCACTAATTTTAATATACAAACCTCTCCAGCCTCCTTGTCAAGGAAGAAATACTTGCCTGGTAATTCCATTTACTTAGAAATAAAGAGATGCTCTTTGCTATAAAAGCTCAATTATGATTCTTGGTCCATGGCACTTAAAGTTTTGTATGTCATTAATCCTTATTAAGCTAATTAATGATACTCTTTAGCAAGTGGATTCTTTTTGCAAATGTAGAATGCTTAAGTGAAGTAGGTATAAAGAGCCTCACATGACACTCAAAATAGTCGTTTGTTTTATCAAACCTTTCAAGCTTCAGAGGGACATCCATCCACTTTTGGATTGGTCTTCTTGGGTATCTCTGCCATCTCGCTTCCAAACGTTATAAATGGTTTGGAGGAAATAAAATGAAGGAAATAACTGCTTAATAGGTTAGGTCATTCATTACTTCTACTGTGAAATACTTTGTAAGCTACCTATTTCATGCTAGCATAAGTATTCCCAAATACTAAAAAATGCCAATGAATAAGCAAGCTAAAAAAGAATTTTCTAAGCACTTTACTAGTACTATAGACACAAAGATAGGTACTTCAGAGTTCCTACCCTTCTAGTAATTCATGATCTCACTCAAACCATAGAGCACAAGTACTAAATGGAAGACAATGTGCTGGAGTGGCACACAAGAGGGAGCCATGAAATAATAAAACTACATTTCTTTTTTTGTTTGCTTTGTTTTTGGTTTTTGGTAATCCTCACCAAGAATATTTTTCCATTGATTTTTAGGGGGAGTGGAAGAGAGAGGGAAAGACGGAGAGAAGCATCAATGTGAGAGAAACACATCGATTGGTTGCCTCCTGCATGAGCCCTGACCAGGGCCCAGGCCAGAGAGGAGCCTGCAACCAAGGTACGTGCCCTTGACTGGAATTGACCCAGGACCCTTTGGTCTGCAAGCTGACACTCTATTGACTGAGCCAAACCGGTTAGGGCCAAAACTACATTTCTTTTAAAAGTCATTTTTCTTCCTCTACTTCCCAGCTATTTGTTTATTCTATAAATATTTGAGTTATACCTGTTCATGTGTCAGAAGACAATGCAGAGCAAGACCCAGTCCGTACTTTAAAGGAGTTTATGCTCAGAGGAAGTAGGATACAAACATAACTGTATTAAAAAGAAGACCTGGATATGGACAATGAGAGATAAGTTTGTTTTGGTCAGAACAGAGGGAAAAGAGACTTCAAGATGGGCCAGCAAAGATGTTAGTAGAGCAAAGCTGTTTGAACAGGACCTAGACGGTGCTTTGGGATCATCAGACAGACATCTTGGATGAAATTAGCTCGCAAAAGGAGCCTGGGGAGAGGCAACACACAGGAGAAATATCTTGAGTAGCTGTAGAGGGCAAGGAGGGAGAGTAGGAGATTAGAGCCAGATCTTCTAGTACTTTGAATGCCAAGTACCACGTTATCACAGCATTGCTCGAGGAGAAGCTTTAGCCTACAACAGAGTCACTTGGAGGGCTTTTTTAAAACTCAAGCTGCACCCACAGTCACTAATTCAGTCAATCCAGAGTCAGACTGAGAATTTGCATCTTCAATAAGTTCCCAAGTGATGCTGGCTGGTATTTGAGAACCACTTCTGGAGTGTTAATCTGGTGACTGTGTGCAGGATGGTTTAGCCAGGGGGAGATTATAGATGGAAACACGAGTCAAAAGACAGTTATACCCATCCAGGAGAAAAGTGAGGGACTAAAGTGGGATCAATGGAAATAAGACTGTCAATTATAGACAAGAGATGGTGTTTTCAAATAAAAATCCAGCACCATATTGTTTTCTGTTGTCCCACCACTGTACAACTGAAGCCATTAAATTCATAGGTATTAAAGCAATGTAAAATAAGAAATGAATTTCTATTAATATAATAAAAAGTATCATTCAGAATTAGTTCAAAGTTCTGTATGAATTAGAGCAGTCACTTCCTTTCAAGTTATATGAAAAGATGTCTTTTAATTCTTCTGGTATTGAATTTGCCTAGAAAAACAGAACGAAACCAGGAAGGTGTGTAGATGTGAGACTATTTCTTTTAATGTTAGACATTTATAAATATACATGGAGATATAAACTTTGAGCTCATAATCTAAATTTTATGTGACCACAAATGGTCCTCTAGTCAATTCTTCTGATCTCAGGAAAGATTTCCTTCAAAATCTATCAAGATCTATAGTTTATGTTGTATTTATGAAGATCATGAAGGTGAGACTCTTAAGAGAGATGAGGGCAGTGTAAGGGGCTCTGGATGGTTCAAATTACAATTCTTAAGGTTTAGAGTTTAGACTAAAGCTGCGTATTCAATATTATTCTAACCTCTACCAGTTATTCCTACTAATTAGATATCTAATAGCTAATTGAGGCATTACTTTCTTTTTCTAGAGACTTATCCTGCAATAAAATAGAATTTATTGAAAGGAATGCGTTCGAATCACTACCTTTTTTACAATATATGTAAGTTATAAATATAACTTCATTGTGTTTAGAAATTTTATAAAATTTAACTGTAAACCTCTTTGTTATTTATTTTGAAGTAAGATTAAAATTTTATTAGTAGAAAGCTACTAAAGTTATGTAGCAAATCTTTTTTGTTTCTAGTACAGATTAGTGTGAGAATTCTCTCACATTCAGAATGAACCATTCTATAGCAGTGGTTCTCAACCAGGGTGATTTTGTACCAGAGCAGTTGGCAATAGCCAAAGAGAGTTTTAGTTGTCAGAACTGTAGATTTTCTACTGGCATCTAGTGGGTAGAGGCTAGAGTTGTTGTTCAACATACTATAAAGCACAGGACAATCCCCCCATAATAAAAAATTATCTAGCCCAAAATGTCAATAGTGTTGAAGTTGTGTATCCCTATTCTAGAGAAAGATCAATTAATTATTTCTTGAGCCCTTACTGTTTTGTATATAATGCATGTTGCAATTCAATCACAAAAGTGAACTTTGGAACATTTCAGGCCTCACATGGAATGCAGTTTTTACAGAAGTTGTAAGTGAAATAGAAGATGAACACATGAGAAAGCTATGTGTAAAAACATCTTACAATGATTGGTTGGCTGGGTATAAGCTCAGTTTGAACTCTTTTTGAAAAGTGTGGCTTAAGAGCCCTTCTTTTTTTTTCAAATGAGGAAACTAAGGTACAAAGAGGTCAAGAGATTTGTCTAACTCATATATGGCATGCTCTGTTTTCTCCAGAACTAACCTTTGGCATGTGCAATACAGGACGCCAAGCACATAACATTCAAAGTATCACCGTCATGGCAATCCCGGTATTGCTTCTGCTCTGATATATGAATGGTCCTTGAAATTCCACTTCTGAATTTGACTTTGATTCCTGCTCATGTGCAAAGTTCCTAACTGTTCATATGTATGCAACATAGAACTGCAAGAATTAAGTTTTGCTCAGAGTTCTCCAGGGAGCAAAAGATGTGGGTGCTTCCTCATGAGTCTCTTAAATGGTAAAGCAGAAAGAATTCCTTAAAAGCTGCCACAGGGCACAGCTCTTCCCAACTAGAACATTATTTCTCAGAACCTCTATACCTCTGAAGTGAATTGTCTGTGGCAATGGGAATCTTTGAAGTAAGGGAGACTATGCTGTTTACGTTGTGGTGTGAAAAAATATTCATAAAGAAAATACATAGCTGTAGCCTCATTCCAATTTCTTTCCTGACTACTCCTCAGTCAGAAGTATGGGTTTTATTCCCTTTCAGCTAAAACTTCTGTGATTTCTCTGTGACACAAGCAAATCATAGTGGGTATGTTCAGTGGCCTGGAAAGGATTTTAGACTCAAGATGAATATTGTCTTCCAATCTTGTCCTTGGAAAAGACTGTCTTACTGTCTTGTGGTATAGAAATCCAATTTCACACAATTCATTTCGGGTTAGATGCGGGTGTTCAGGGTGTGCCAAGCTGCATTGACAGTTCCTGCAGATGCCCATCTGTAGCGGCCTCCATCTTCTCTCATTGATTTGATGATGCCTCACTTGGGGAAAGAGCACTGACAGCCAGTTTTCCTTTGGTCAATGCATTAGAGAGCACGCTCATTACGTCCCTACACCAAGAGGTTTTGGTAGCGTCAATACAATGTCGAAAACTCACCACCTTTACTAAGCATTGTGTAATACTGAGAGTCTCCTATAAGAATCTGAGTTTCACTATAGTTATGAAGGTAGTACAGGGGGGAAAAAACAAACAAAATTGTGGAATCACAGTTGAAAAAAATTCAGAAACAGTGTCAGCATGTACTAATTGCTGGGGGTACAAAGAAGAATTGGACAGGGACTTTATCCCCAAGAACTTGATACTAGAAGGAGTAAGGTGGATGTTGATGGGAAAACATATGAGAGCCTTGCCAGCATCTTTACAGCAGGGTAACAGGATAGGAGGGAGACAAAACAGGGACTGGGTGATGTGTCAAAAAAGGTTTGTAACAGAGTAGGCACCAATTTGTTTATCTTGAGTTTCTGGGTTCATCTTAAATGACAGAAAAGTTAATGAAAGAACCAGAGCTAGCTGATGTTAGAAATAAATTAATATCCCTATCTTGTGACTTGAATAGAGCTGTAGTTCTAAAACTAACTCACAGTACTTTCCAAAGGTTGTCAGAAACCCTAAGTGTGTGCTGGAGGCTGGGCTCCTTTGTTTTGGGCCAAATCTTATGGACAAAACTAACTTGCTTCAGGAAACATTTGCCGTAGTGAGATATAAACTAAATTGCATCTTTTCCCAAGTCATTTTATCATCTATATAATATATTGCTGGTGTTTTTATAAGTTGAAAGAATATTTTCCCCTGCAATAAATAAGTTTGTAATAAGTGTGAGATGGATTTATCATGAATTGAATGAAGCTTAAGCTTCAGGGTTCTTCACTTGCATAAGTCCCTTCCAAGTTCTAGCAAGTGGGAGGGGCCTGTCACTTTTCATATTCACAATTTTGCATATTTTTATTAGGATTTCCAAAAACAGTTGAGGTTCAGTCTCCACAAAACCTTGATTCACCCCTGGTTTTCAGGTAATTATATTTCAGTAAGTTTATTGAGTGAAATCTGTTATTGACAGACACTGAATAAACAAATTAACAGTGTGGTAAAGAGTCCATTTTGGATCTGAAATCCACCTCAGAGACATGCTGAGTGTATTAATAAAGTAACACTTTTTGAATGGTAGTCATAAGCCTATTCCTTTCAGATAAAATCAGGAATGAAATATATTATGAAAAACTAGCAGTGGTTGATAATTCTAAATGTTAAATCTACTTATTTTTTTTGACTTTAAAGTGCTTCTCCTTCATTCACCTACATAGGTCCAGACTGATGGCTTATTTTTAAAACTTATTTTAGTTCATTTATTCTAAAAATACAAGCTCCATGATTTTAGAAAACGAAGGACTCTACAATGTAGAAAGGCTATAGCTTATCCAGATGGAGTGCATTCACATGCTGCGTGTCTGTGTTTCATCAATATTGTGCCATGAACATAATCAGTAAGAGAGAAAAAGGAAAACCCAAGCCTTATCCCTATTGAAATATTTCCCCCACTGTTGAGAATATCAGTGCGGTATGTCAGTCCACACTATGAAGGCAAATTGAGCTGTGGTCACATAGATACCCTAATGCTCCCCTGTTCAACTAGCATTGATTGGTTCCCTTTAGATAGCTGTGAGCCTACAGGACACTATGTGTATTGTCATCAGGTTTTGTAGGTACTGAAATCCTGGCAGCTCCTTTTTAGATTCCAGAAGGCATAAGCACTGAAGATAAAGATAACTATCCTTTGGGATGATTTAGGGTGGTGGTTTTATTTGTAATGGTTCAAAAGTTTTGAGATTGTCATACCCGGCAGCTATGATGAGACTTCTTCCAACTGCATCTTATTCTTCCCATCTGTATAGTAAGGTGTCTTCTTTCTCTCAAAAGCAGAGTAATTCTTCCGCTGCCCATAATGTTTCTTTGACACCTACCTTTATTAGGAGCTTATTATGTTTCAGGCACTATACCTAGTACTTTCATTACTATACAAATAAGATAGTGTGCCTAAAGCTCTTAGAATAGTGCTTGGTACATGGTAAATGCTCATTACAAGTTAGCTCACACTATATCTCATTCTCATTTTCCCAACAATCCTTGTGATAGATATTATCCCCACTGAAACTTAGAGACTTTGGATAACTTGCCTAGTTTTCACACTGTTAATAAGGGGTAGAACCCTTATGAGTTTTGCAACTAATTTTCTATTCTTTTTATTTAGCTACTATGACTAATGCCACTATGAACATTCACATACAAGTGTTTGTATGAATATATGTTTTTTATTGATTTCAGAGAGGAAGGAAAAGGGAGAAAGAGAGAAATATCAATGATGAGAGAGAATCATTGATTGGCTGCCTCCTGCATGCCCCCAACTGGGAATTGAGCCCACAACCTGGGCATGTGCCCTTGATCAGAATCGAACCCGGAACCCTTCAGTCCCCAGGCTGATGCTCTAACCACTGATCACCCCAGCTAGGGCTGGATGTATGTGCTTAATTCTCTTGGGTGCATACGTGAGAGTGAAATTTCTGGGTCATATAGCAACTCTATGTTTAACTTTTTTTCAAAATATATTTTATTGATTTTTTACAGAGAGGAAGGGAGAGGGATAGTTAGAAACATCGATGAGAGAGAAACATCGATCAGCTACCTCCTATTGGGGATGTGCCTGCAACCAGGGTACATGCCCTTGATTGGAATTGAACCTGGGACCCTTCAGTCCGCAGGCTGACACTCCATCCACTGAGCCAAACCAGTTAGGGCCATGTTTAACTTTTTTGAGGAAATGCCCAACTGTTTCCCATAGTGGCTTCACTATTTTGCATTCTCACCAACAATGTATAAGGATTCCAATTCCTCCATATCCTTGCCAGCATTTATTATTCTCTATCTGCTTGGTTATAGCCATCTTAGTGAATGTAAAGTCATATCTAATAGTGGCTTTGATATGTATTTCCCTAATGACTTAAGACATTGAGCACCTTTCCATGTGCTTATTGGCCATTATATCTCTTTTGGAGAAATGTTTTTAAATCTTTTGCCCATTTTAAAATTTGGTTATTTACTTTTTATTGAGTTGTAAGAGATTTTTATATATTCTGGATGTAGGACTTTATCAAATATATAATTTGAAAATATTTTCTCCCATTCTGTGAGTTCTCTTTTCATTTTCTTAATAGTGTCCTTTGAGGCCTGGAAGTCTTCAGTTTTATAAAGTCTAATTTATCTATTTTTCCTTTAGTTTGTGCCTTTAGTATCATATCTAAGAAACTATTGTGCTAATATAAGGTCATAGAGATTTACTCCTTGCTTTCTTCTAAGAGTTGTACAGCTTTAACTCTTACACTTAGGTATTTGATTCATTTTGAGTTAATTTTTATATATGGTATAAAGTATAGGTAGAATCTAACTTTATTATTTTGCATGTGGATATACAGTTGTCTCAGCCCCATTTAAAAAGACGATTCTTTGCACATTGAATTGTTTTGGCATCCTTGTTGAAAACAGGCAATACATGTGAGGGTTTATTTCTGGATTGTCAATTCGTTCCATTGATTTATATGTCTAGCCTTAGGCCGTACCACACTGTGACTGCTGTGGCTTTGAATTGGGTTTTGAATCCGGGACCTATGAGTCCTCCCACGTTGTTCTTTATCAAGATTGTTTTTGGCTTTCTCTGTCCTTTGAATTGCCACATGATTTTAGAATTAGCTTGTACATTTTTGAAAAGTCATTTGGGATTTTGACAGAGGTTGCATTGAAACCATAGATCAATTTGGGGAGTAGGGCCATTTTAACAGGGCCATCTTCTGATCCATGAACACAGCATGTCTTTCCATTTATTTACATCTTAATTTTTTTAAGCAATGTTGTTTTAGTTTTTAGTATAAGAGTCATGAAGTTTGGTTAAATTTTTTACTAAGTATTTAATTCTTCCTGATGTTATTATAGATGAAACAAGAGGCCCAATGCACAAATTCATGCACTGGTGGGGTCCCTGGGCCTGGCCTGCGGGATCGGGCCAAAACCGGCTCTCAGACATCCCCCAAAGGGTCCCAGATTGCAAGAGGGTGCAGGCCAGGCCAAGGAACCCCACTGGTGCACGATCGGATCCCGGGAGAGACGCAGAAGGTTGGCCAGCTGGAGAGTGACCATGGGAAGGTTCCAGGGCGTGTCAGCCCTTCTCACTCAGCTCTGATCAGCCAGACCCCAGCAACAAGCTAACCTACCAGTGGGAGCGTCTGCTCCCTGGTGGTCAGTGTACGTCATAGTGAGTGGTTGAGTGGCTTTAGCATATGCTCAGATTGGTTGAATGCTTTGATTTGTTGAATGGCTGACTGGTCGACATGACACTTTGCATATTGGGCTTTTATTATATAGGATTATTTTCTTAATTTCAGTTTTGGATTACTCATTGCTCAATGTGTATAGAAATACAGCTAACTTTTTCATATTGGTCTTATATCCTGCAATCTTCAGCGGTCTTGTACCCCTGAACGTATTAGCGGTAATAGTTTGTTTTCTTAAAATATATTCTTATGGATTTCAGAGAGGAAGAGAGAAGGAGAAAGATAGATAGAAAAAACATCAGTGATGAGAGAGAATTATTCATCTGCTGCTTCCTATATCTCCCACACTGGGGATCAAGCCTGCAACCCAGTCATGTGCCTTAACCAGGAATTGAACTGTGCCTCCTGCTTCATAGGTCGATGCTCAACCACTGAGCTACACTGGCCAGGCTAGCGGTAATAGTTTTTTATTTTTAGATTCCCAGGATGTGTCTCATGGTGTTTCAGTTTCCCGGGCATATGTTGGAGCACTTCAGAATCTCTGTAGACATCTTATTTCTCAGCTTTTCCTTTTAACTTTTGTTGTTAGCCTATTTTTTACACCAACTTTTATCCATTGCCTCAGCAGCTGCCATGTTAAAACATTTACATGAAATGGTTTTCACAAAATACCCTCTGAGGACAGAGGCTTTAGGGGCTAGGCAGCTCTCAGGTCAAAAACAAGCCTTTAAAGTGTGGTCTTCCAGGGAACCACAAGACAGGTAAAACGACAGTTCTTTGGGAATATGATTTCATTCCATTCTGCTTTCTGTGGTACTGGGTCTGTGGGCTGTTTTTCAAGGTTACCCCAGGGATGGAGAGCAAAGCTTTAGGATGAGTTAAAGCAACACAGATCACTGTTCTTACAGAAAGCAATAATTTCTCTTGACTAAATGTTCCCTGGATTCCTCCAAGCCCGATGGCTAAATTTACAGTTTGAAAAAGTTGATTCTGACCATTTTTTGCCAGTTGTTTTTTAGGGATGACTTACTTCGCCGTTTTCACTGATTTGCCTACAACATGGTTTTAAATTTCTAAAGTCTCAATGACTCTAAGCTAGTTAAATATTTAATCATGGCCAATCATTAGGAAACAGGAATAAAAAGAAAAAGAATGTAATTCTCATAGAAGCTGTCCCAGATGGGTACATAAAATTTGAAAAGGGATTTCTATATCTAGTGGTCTCAGAATTAAGGTTAAAGTAGCAGCTATTTTAAAACCCCTCTTCTTAATGGGGCTTAAACATGGGTTTTAAGGTCAGAACTGAGTTCAAATTCTAGCTCTGCTTTTTACTAGCTTGACAACCTAGGACAACTTATATAACCTCACTGTGCCTCAGCCTCCTCATTTGTAAAACGGGGTAATAATATATATCAATAAAGTTATTGTGAAGATTAAATATGAAGTGTTCATTACAGATGCCCAGTAGCCTAATAGATATTAGCTGTAATAATCATCTTTATAATAGTCTGCAAAAGTATACTAATGACTTTAGAGTAGTTAACCTAAAGACAGATTTTGTTTTCTTCTTGTTTTTTGTTTGTCTTGTTTTACTTGTATGTTTTTTAGAATTGAGAAGAACATTTATTTCAGCATTGGGAATAAAAATTTGTGTCAATTAACAAATTTGTTCATTTTATTGATGTATAATCAAAATGTTATTTATTTATTAGACAAACATCTATTAAATACCTAGTAAATGCGCCCTGGCCTGTTTGGCTCAGTGGATAGAGCGTCGACCTGCAGACTGAAGGGTTCCACATTCGATTTCTGTCAAGGGCATGTACCTTGGTTGCGGGCACATCCCAGTTGGGGGTGTGCAGGAGGTAGCTGATCGATGTTTCTCTCTCATCGATGTTTCTAACTGTACCCTCTCCCTTCCTCTCTGTAAAAAATCAGTAAAATATATTTTAAAAAATAATAAATAAATAAATACCTAGTAAATATCAGGCACTAACAGTCTAAGAAATTGACAAGTAAACAGGTGATTTACATACAATGTAACAAAAGCTGTGATATAAAAATACACATGGGAGTATGTGATAGGAGCATGGCTTTCACCAGTTCCTCTTAGATTTATCCTTTTTTTGGCTCGAAAACCAAGGAGTTAGTCCTATTTTTCTCTTTAACTGGGTGGTTTAAATTGGATTTTTTAAAGTTTCTGGAGATGAAAGAAAAGCACCTTGAATTATGGAGGACACTAGAAATAGTAACTTCTGTAGAGCAGGAGCTTCCTATCAGCATAGTCACCAATAGGGTTTTCTTTTTTCTCTTTTTAAATATATTTTTATTGATTTTAGAGAGGAATGGAGAGGGAGAAATAGAAACATAAATGATGAGAGAGAATCATTGATTGGCTGCCTCTTGCACTCCCCATACTGGGGATCAAATCTGCAACCCCCGGATTGTGCCCTGACCTGGGAATCGAACCATTACCTCCTTTTTCATAGGTCAACGCTCAACCACTGAATCACACCAGCTGGGCATTAATAGAGTTTTCAATCTGAAAAGTTCTTTGGCATACTTTTTTATTTGCTATTCACTTTTTCCCTATTTTTTACATGTTCTTCTCCATTTTATCATTTAGAGACCTGAGTAGTTCCCCAAAAAATGTATGCTTTAGGGATTCTTAAGGGTAATCTAAAGGTAAAGACAGAAAATGATTTTTTAACCTTCAAGTTTTGTACCAACAAAATGAATATAAGCTTTCATGGCAGTTACTGAAAATGCAGACAATTTTAATTCTATTGCATTTTTCAGAATCCTCAATCATAATCCTCTGACAACTGTTCAAGATCCATATCTTTTTAATTTGCCAGCATTGAAATATTTGTAAGTATTGCAACAATTTCATGGCTCATGAGATGATTTCTGCTCTTTCTTACTTTCATCCAAAATTAAATAGTTTGCATTTTGATTAAAAAGTCATAATTTAAATTTTAACTAGGTTATTGAAAATGACTATTAGCACAGAAAAATGATAAAGACTGTACAGGAGCAAGACAGCCAGGAGAGGAAGGGAGCAGTGTTGAAGAACACATTCAGACATGAAACATGTAGATGCATGTAGAAGTAACATTGATCTCAGAAAGAAAAAAGGAATAAGTTGTATATTACATACATATTTTAAAAAGAATAATCAAGTTGTGGTTGCAATTGAGAAAGACAAATAGGATAATGGTAAAAATAATAAACACAGATTGTACTGTTCACCAAAGTAGTTAATTTGATGATGCAAATAAATTTAAATTTCTTCAAGAAGAACTCTCAGAAAATGTCACCTATGGCAAATAAATTCTTGAGTTGGCTTGACAGAGAAGCCAGAATTGAAGTAGATATAAAAGTGTTGTCTTTGGGTTCATATCATGCATGTTTGGTCCTTCCCCTTCAGAGACATGGGAGCAACCCAAGTGTCATTTACAACAGTTGATAACATCCTCAAGATGACACTTACACTGGAAAAACTGTAAGTTGGTTTTTCTTATATTTATTTTCACTTAGTTATTATTTTAGGTTTGCTTTATTATTTTCGTGAGTCAGGTTTATAGAGGTATAATTTTTATTAAATAAATTCACTCTTTTAACCCTGGCCAGTGTTTTTTATGGTAAGAGCATTGGCCCCCACACTGAAGGGTCTCAGATTTAATTTCCAGTCCAGAGCATGTACCTGGGTTGCAGGTTTGATCCCTGGCCCTGGTTGAGTGCCTGCAGAAGGCAACCAATCACTGTGCTTTTCTCATATCAATGTTTCTCTCTCTCCCTCTCCTCTCTCCCCACCTTTCCTCCCTTCCACTTTCTCAGAAAAAAAAAAAAACAGTGGAAAAAATATCCTCGGGTGAGGATTAACAAAAATAAAAAATCACTTTTAAAGTGTACAGTTTAGTGAGTTTTGGTAACTGTGTAGTTTTGATCAATGTACCACCATTACATTAGAGATACAGAACACTTTTGTCATCCCATAAAGCTGCCTCATATTTCTTTGCAGTCAATTCTTCCTCCCACCACCAGCCCCTGGCGAGCACCAATCTGATTTTTGTCATTATAGCCTTGCCTTTTCCAGGATGTCTTATAAATGAAATCATGGAGAGTGTAGCCCAGTGGTTCTCAACCTGTGGGTCGTGACCCCTTTGGGGGTCAAACGACCCTTTCACAGGGGTTGCCTAAGACCATCGGAAAACAGATATAATTACATATTGTTTTTATGATTAATCACTATGCTTTAATTATGTTCAATTTGTAACAATGAAAATACATCCTGCAGATCAGATATTTACATTATGATTCATAACAGTAGCAAAATTACAGTAATGAAGTAGCAACAAAAATAATTTTATGGCTGGGGGTCACCACAACATGAGGAACAGTGTTAAAGGGTCGCGGCATTAGGAAGGTTGAGAACCACTGGTGTAGCCTTTTGTATTTGGCTTCTTTCATGTAGCATAACCCCCTTTTAAAAATACTTTTATACATGTTACTGCATCTATTAGTAGTTCTTTAATTTTTATTGCTGCATAGTATTCTAATTGTGTGTATACACCAGTTTGTTTATGCAGTCATCAGTTAATGGATATTTGAGTTGTTCCTAGTTTTTTGATTTTTAAAAATAAAGCTGCTAAAAACACTCACATGGCCCAGCCGTGAGTGACTCAATGGTTGAGAGTCAACTTATGGATCACGGGGTCATGGTTCATTTCCCAGTCAGGGCACATGTGTAGGCCGTGGGCTTGCAACAGGCAGCTGGCCAATGGTTCTATCTCATCGATGTTTCTATCTCCCTCTTCCTCTCTGAAATAAAAATATATATATATTCTAAAAGATTAAAAATGAAAACACTAACATACAGGTCTATGTGTAAAAATACATTTTCATTGCTTTGGGGTAAAATACCTAAGGTGTGGTTGCTGCATCATATGCTGAGTACATATTTAATTAGTAAAGAAACTGCTAAACTGTGTTCTAAAGTGGTTGTACCATCTTGCCTTCCCATCAGCAGTAGATGAGAGCTGCAATTGCTTCACATTTTCACCTGACCTATATATTTCTCTTAGAGGCCCAGTGCACGAAATTCATGCACGGGGTTGGGGGTCCCTCAGCCCAAACTGTGAGCTTTTGTAGTAGACCTAAGCTATCAGTTGGACATCCTTAGCGCTGCGGTGGAGGCAGGAGAGGCTCCCGTCACTGCCGCTGCGCTCGCCAGCTGTGAACCTAGCTCAGGGCTTTTAGCTGAGCAGCACTCCCACCGTAGAAGCGCACTGATCACCAGGAGGCAGCTCCTGCATTGAGTGTCTGCCCCCTCGTGGTCAGTGTGTGTCATAGCGACCCATCATTCCGCCATTTGGTCGATTTGCATATTAGCCTTTTATTATATAGGATGTTTTTTTAATTAGCCTTTCTAGTAGAAATCCTATATAATAAGAGAGAGCTATGCAAATTAGGCCAGGACATCACAACCAGCTCAGAGCACGCCCCCAGCCCCAGCGGACACACACCACACACCAGGGTTAGGGGTGGGCTCCAAGTGGCTGCTGCGTGGCTTGGAACCCACCCCTAACCCCGGCACCGTCCAGTTCCGAGGCCACTCCCACTGGGGGTTCGTGTGCAGGCGCTGCGCCACCTGCCCTGGGAGCCTTTCTGCCCTGGGAGCAAGGCCCCTGGTGGGAGTGCGGCACTGCCCAGCTCCGAGGCCACTTCTGCCGGGGATTCACGGGCAGGCACGCCATGCCGCCTGCCCTGGAAAATTAACTTTTGAGAAACTCAAATTCATCAAACTCTAATCAGCAATGTTTTTCTTATTTGGTTTGTGCTTTTTTGTTCTTATCTAAGAATTTTTTTGTGTAAGAACCCATTGTCTAATCCAAAATCACATAGATTTTCTCCTATGTTTTCTTCCAGACGTTGTCTAGTTATGTTTAGGTCTATGATCCATTTTGAGAAATTTTTCTATATGGTGTAAAGTAAGGGTCAGAGTTTTCGTTTTGTTTTGTTTTTTTTTGTTTTAAAAAATATTTCTGTGGACCCCTATTGTGACAGTTTATTATAGAACTTATTGCATCTTAAATTGTGCTACCCCTCCCAATATGACAGGCTAATAGAAACTTGCTGTTATGCTAAGGGTAGTTGAGAAGATTACATGAAATTAGTATAGGAAAGGGCTCTGCTATTACCAGTGTGCTCCAGCTGCGTCTGACAGGTCAGCCTACAAATGACTGCCATCTGCACATTGTTGTATCTGTTGGTGATTGTCTAACCTCATATTCCTCAGATCTGCCACAGTCAATCCTTCCCTTGTCAGTTAGATGACTTCCTCTAGGATATTCAAAATCATTGCTCTGTAGAACTATAATCCTATTAATGCACTGAAGAAATTAAATTCCTACACTATAATATTACATAATAAAGAGTTGAAATTCCAATTTTCCCAGTTGTCTACATCATTTACTTCTAACAACTTTTTGAGGTATAATTGACATATAATAATTTCTGTTTATAAATATATATTGTGTTTATATATACTCATATGTTTTCTTGTAGAAGTTTCATAGTAATAGATTTTACATTTAGGTGTTTCAACCAATATATATTCATATACCACAGAACCATCACCAAAATCAAACTGTCTATAACCTCAGAAATTTTCATCATGTCTCTTCGTAATTATTCCTTCCATTCCTCCTTGCCATCCCCAATTCCTGTGCAAGCATCAATCTGCTTTCTGTTGCTATAGGTTAGTTTGCATTTTCTAGAATTTTATATAAATGGAATCATTCACTCTTTTCTAACTGGCTTTTCTAACTGGCTTCCTTTACTAATGATGAACATTTTAAGATTCATTCATGTTGTTATGTGTATAGATAATTCATTTTATTGCTGAAAAGTATTTTATTATATATGGATATATCAGTATTTTTCAGCTGATGTATCAGTATTGATGGCTATTTGAGTTGTTCCAATTTTTTACTATTACAAATAAAGCTATTATGAATATTTATGTGCAAGTCTTTTTATGGAAATATACTTTTATTTCTCCTGATAAATATCTGGAAGTGAAATGACTGGAACAAATGGTAGGTGTATGTTTAAGTTTTAAAAAACTATTTTCCAAAATGGTTGTAGATTTTACATTCCCACCATTGTATGAGAATTTCATGTTCTTCACATGTTTGCCAATATCTGGTATGGCTATTCTGTTTAATTTTATATAGTTTAATGGGTGTGTAGTGGTATCTCAGTGTACGTCTAATTTGCATTTCCCTAATGTTTAATAATGTAAAATATAGTTTCATATGTTTAGTTGCCATATGTATATCTTTGAATCATTTATCTATTTTATATTGAGTTTTGGTTATTTACATATTCTGGAAACAAGTCCTATGTTAAATATGTCAATTGGTAAGTATTTGCTCCCATTCTGTGGCTTGTTTCTTCATTCTTCCAAGAGTGTTCTTTGTGGGGCAGAAATTCTTAATTTCGATAATGTTCAATTAATCCCTTTTTTGTTTTTTTATAGATTCTACTTTTGGTATTGTATCTAAGAAATCTTGGTTATAAAGATTTTTTTTATATGTTTTCTTGTAGAAGTTCTATATTTCTAGGTTTTACATTTAGATCTTTCAACCAATTTAAGTCCATTTCTGTATATGGTTTGGGTTGAAGTTCACTTTTTTTACATGGCTATCCAATTGTCCCAGCACCGTTCATTGAAAAGACTATTCTTTTTCCATTTTTTAGCTGACATTATTCTATAAATAATAGCTTCTTTTCGAGTATCATTGTGAACTCATGGGCTCTTCTTTAAAATAATTACTTTATATTTTATTAACATTAGTCTTTGTGGTTGGGAGAAAGAGATACATCTGAATTAAACTACAGATCAGTGTCACCCAGATATAATCTCTATCACATTTATTCTAGGCATCCCATACCCATTGCCATTCTTACCCTTCTGTTGGGCACTTCTTTCCTCCTTTCTATTTATTTACAACATTCATGAATAGCAAATGACCAACTGATCCCTACAAAACTCTTCAGGAGATAATGTCCCAACAATCTTCTTTTGCCCAACCCTGTGGTAGCCATGGCCTATCTCTTCTACCTACTCAGGTAATTCCTTTGCCACTAATTTAATTCTTTGTGTTTCCATTTATAGGATCTTACCTAGCCGTTTGGCCTGCTGCCTCTGCCACTTAAAAAATACTATTGAGGCTGTTGCCAAGTCAATCAGACTGCATTGTGACAATGAGTGTCTGGTAAAAACACATTGTGGTGAGTCTGAATTGCCCATGATAAACTTTTTAATTTTTATTTTGTTTTTATTTGTAATCAATGATGATGTTTGTAAGCAAATGAAGTAACGGCATTATTTCTATTCATTTACTCAGAGTTCAACTCCAGAATTTTAAGAACTACTTTTTGCTAAAAGTCAGGTGAAGGGAAGGGTATTACCATTGATGGCCACATCGTGAGTGTTGTGCTCTCTGCTGGGTGCTTTACTTCCAAATGAGAACTTGTTCATTAGTGTGTCACAGTTTGTAAACTCTTTTGTATGCATTAGGTTTCAACTGCCCTTTGCAGTGTAGACAGATATAGATACATTTTTACTTTGTTTTTGCAAGTTTATGAAAAGAGTACAAATGATGCTGATTTATGTAAGTTTTATTTGGAACCTGAGAGTTCTTGGATCCATCACCAGAAGCTGCTACCCAGCCCTTCTAAGGCGTGGGAGGGCTCTTTATTCCTAGGCTGTCCAGCTCTGACCTTGCTCTGAAGCACAAGGTTTTCTACCCACCAAACAGTCGTGTGCTTTTAAGTATTTGTCTACACATTAGGTTTATTGGCAGCTACTTGATAACTTCCCAAATATATTTCATGCCCAGATAACTTGAATATGGGTTTCTGTCAGTGATCTGGGGCACATCATAAATAAT